AGCTTGTTATAATTCTGAATTAAATCTCATTAATTCTGAAATAATTCTAGCATCCTATAGTGAGTAAATTCTGAATTTGTTCTGAAATCGTTTGTTTAGTGGCACAGACTAGAACTCAGTGCTAGTTTTCAGCATAACTAGCGCTAATTCAGAACCGTGTTCTTCTTTTAAGCATAGCAAAGACTAAATTAAGCACATAGTGGCAATTTTTCAGCCTAATTCAGCTTCATTTCAGCACATAGTGGCAATTTTTTCAGCCTAATTCAGGCCTTCGCAGATCATTTTCAGCACTGACTAGCACTAATTCAGAACGAAAAGACTAAATTCATCACATAGTGGCAATTTTTTCAGCCTAATTCAGGCCTTCGCAGATCATTTTCAGCACTGACTCGCATTACTCTAGAACGAAAAGACTTCTACTTATTATCATCACCTGTGTCCTACGGCGGCCCAATTCATTTAGTTTACAGAAAAAATCAGTTTTTATAATTGAGACTTTTGTATTTATAAACTGTAGTATAATGTCACTGCAATCCCGTCAAGTACGATCCACTGGTAGCATCCTGCAAATAAGCAAAATAAAATATTAGTGGGTGAAAAATTGTGCTCAGCACATTCTTAGCATTTACATTTATAAAAGTTTACTTACATAAGTGCCACTGTTATATCCCCCGGTATCTTTTTCATTTGCCTAAAAATGAAAAACAATGTTGTGATTACTACATGTTGAATAAACGTCCACTTATAAAAGTAAGCAGGCGTTTCGCAATATTACCTGAATTCCTTGCTTCCGCTTACGCCTTTGGACACGATCTTTCAAATTATGAAAGTACGATTTCGTGGCCCTATCCATCATTTCACCAATCTCTCTTGTCGTCATTAGTTTGCCGGAGAAGTGCGACATAATTAAAACTAGAGAACTAATTACTTCATTAATGAAACTTACTTCTCATTATTTTATAAAAGGCATAAGGCAAGCTTGTTATAATTCTGAATTAAATCTCATTAATTCTGAAATAATTCTAGCATCCTATAGTGAGTAAATTCTGAATTTGTTCTGAAATCGTTTGTTTAGTGGCACAGACTAGAACTCAGTGCTAGTTTTCAGCATAACTAGCGCTAATTCAGAACCGTGTTCTTCTTTTAAGCATAGCAAAGACTAAATTAAGCACATAGTGGCAATTTTTTCAGCCTAATTCAGCCTTCGCAGATCATTTTCAGCACTGACTAGCACTAATTCAGAACGAAAAGACTAAATTCATCACATAGTGGCAATTTTTTCAGCCTAATTCAGGCCTTCGCAGATCATTTTCAGCACTGACTCGCATTACTCTAGAACGAAAAGACTTCTACTTATTATCATCACCTGTGTCCTACGGCGGCCCAATTCATTTAGTTTACAGAAAAAATCAGTTTTTATAATTGAGACTTTTGTATTTATAAACTGTAGTATAATGTCACTGCAATCCCGTCAAGTACGATCCACTGGTAGCATCCTGCAAATAAGCAAAATAAAATATTAGTGGGTGAAAAATTGTGCTCAGCACATTCTTAGCATTTACATTTATAAAAGTTTACTTACATAAGTGCCACTGTTATATTCCCCGGTATCTTTTTCATTTGCCTAAAAATGAAAAACAATGTTGTGATTACTACATGTTGAATAAACGTCCACTTATAAAAGTAAGCAGGCGTTTCGCAATATTACCTGAATTCCTTGCTTCCGCTTACGCCTTTGGACACGATCTTTCAAATTATGAAAGTACGATTTCGTGGCCCTATCCATCATTTCACCAATCTCTCTTGTCGTCATTAGTTTGCCGGAGAAGTGCGACATAATTAAAACTAGAGAACTAATTACTTCATTAATGAAACTTACTTCTCATTATTTTATAAAAGGCATAAGGCAAGCTTGTTATAATTCTGAATTAAATCTCATTAATTCTGAAATAATTCTAGCATCCTATAGTGAGTAAATTCTGAATTTGTTCTGAAATCGTTTGTTTAGTGGCACAGACTAGAACTCAGTGCTAGTTTTCAGCATAACTAGCGCTAATTCAGAACCGTGTTCTTCTTTTAAGCATAGCAAAGACTAAATTAAGCACATAGTGGCAATTTTTTCAGCCTAATTCAGGCCTTCGCATCATTTTCA